TGCTTCTTTCCTTTCCTTTCCTTTCCTTTCCATTAGCTCTCAATTGTGCAGATATTTTTATATCCAAAGGAAATTTTAGGACATTACAACTTTTTTTTAAATGTTTTTTTTGTACTATATACACTCTTTTTCATATTGTCTGTTGTATTTTTATCTTTAATGCCATCTTGCTTTAACTCTGCCCTTTGTACTCTATATAAGCTACTGGAACCAGAAGTTGAGTTTAAAGGAATAGTACACCTAAAACATGATTAGCCTTCATTTTCTACTCACCCCCATGCTGAACAACACTCTGGAGTACTTTTTTGATATCTCAAATGCATCTGGAGATATGGGAGGCTTCTTGCTGTCTGCTGACATTCAAATAATGGAGGTCTATGGTGACCGAGACAGAAAGGTCCATAAAAGTCAACAAAAAACGTGTCAATATTCCTCCATACTGCTCGTCCAATGTATTCCAAGTGTCCTGAGTGGGTAGCATCCAGAATTTACTCGAAACGAAGTCATTTAGAATGTTTTTAGAGCATAAACAGTAGTGTATAGGATTTCCTGAAAGCGCACATGCGCGCTCACGACGCTACGGAAGCCGGCAGACCAAACCAGCGCATTCAGCTCGGCAAAGAACTCATGCTCTTCCTCAACACTGAAGTCCTCAGACATTTTTCTTTCGTTGTTTCTTTCTTTGCACAGGTAGACAGCACATTTCTTCTTCTACGCTTGCATTATTGGCAGAGCAGACGCTGAATGGGCACTTTCATCTGGTTTGGTCTGCCGGCTTCCGTAGGCTCGTGAACGCGCAGGTGCGCGCTTTCAGGAAATCCTATACACTACTGTTTATGCTCTAAAACATTCTAAATGACTTCGTTTCGAGTAAATTCTGGATTATTTGAATGTCAGCAGACAGCAAGAAGCCTCCCAGATCTCCAGATGCATTTGAGATATCAAAAAAGTACTCCAGAGTGTTGTTCAGCATGGGGGTGAGTAGAAAATGAAGGCTAATCATGTTTTGGGTGTACTATTCCTTTAAGTCTAAAGGTTAAAAAGACAAATGCATTAATAATAAATAGGTTATATATTTACCTTTTAAGGTTTTGGTAAAGGTAAAATACTGAGGGGACATTTATAGTACTGTATTTACATTATTATCACTAAAGTGCATTAGTTACTGTCTAAATAATTAAGATTACAGAGTAATATTATAGTAGTGAGTATTATATTATATGGAATAGTATTACGATATCAGCCTTTCAAAAAAAAAGTCAATATCAATGATTTTTTATTTTTATTTTACCTATTTTAAATAAGGACAAGATAAAAAAGGCTTAAGTTAAGTGGTAAATCTATTTAAATATAACCTTTAAAACAAGGTCACCCTACCACCAACCTTACTTAGCTTGACTGATAGAGGTTGACAGGCTGAATTCTTTTCCTCTATCCAGCAGAATGTGGTGTGGTTTCATAGTGAAACTATCTAACAGAACATTTTATACAAGGTATTTTCTTCTAATATAGGTTCGGTGTCTATCATTTATCATTTTATTAAAAAGCTCCTCATAAATAATTGGATTGATGGCTGCTAAAGAGGGTAATGCAATGAGAAATTGATTTTATTTTCTTATCAACCTCGGAAAAAAACAAAATACTACAGAAGACTATAAGGGAAAATAAAAATAGGATCCTATTGCAAAAGCCCAGGATTATAACTTAGATAAAGAAGAAATATATATATAAAAAAAGTCTGAATTCTATGGGAATACTTTTGAAATAAAAGTCAAAATTCTGAGATTAAGGTCGGAAATCAATATTTTTCTTTTTGCGTGGCCTAAGGGTACAGCCAGTGTTTATAGAAACATGGAACAAACAGAAAGTGTCTAAAGTACCATTAAAAGAACCATACAGTGTAATGAGCAGCATCTGATTATCAATCAATTGATTAATGGAGAGATTAATGGATTTTGAAAATAATCGTTATTTACAACACTACTCTAAACTAATCCTAACTCTAAATGTGTCCCGTGTTTCTGATACCTTATTTGTATTACATCTGGCCAAGGGTGTAACTTTGTCGTGGAAGTTGGTGGGGACACTCTAAGGGTGGCGGCTGATGGACCTGCAGTTACTCCACACAAACCCTTTCAAAATGGTTTGTATTTTCCAAAATTGAACTCAAACATATATTTTTTCAATGCTTTCCTATTACAGTTAGATATATTATGCCTCCCTAGTATGAACACAATTTCAGTTTCATTCATCCATCTTGATTGATGGACGGATGTTTGCCCTTTCCGCTACATTAGTTATGATCTTCCTTAAAAGCAGCAAAATCAAATTTAGAAATTTCTCCCACATATTGTTGAGAGCCAAAGTCTATGTATTGAAGTTCTTGGTGGGGACTGTCCCCAGCAGGGCAAGGTTGGTGCGGGACATGTCCCCACCAGTCCTACTGTCACGATCTTAGTTCCGTTGTTTTCTTTTAAGTATTTAGTTTTACTTTGCTCCATATTTTCTAGTTTTATTGGTTTAATTCCTATTTTGCTGTGTTTTCTGGATATATTTGAGTTCTTCTTGTTTTGGTCTCCTTTTCCCTAGCTCCTTTCTAGGCTCCTCTCTTCACACCTGCTCCCAATCAGCTCCTTAGTCCTCTCTCTCCTGTCTTTCCTTGAGTCTACAGGTGCTGGTCATAAAATTAGAATATCATGAAAAAGTAGATTGATTTCAGTAATTCCATTTAAAAAGTGAAACTTGTATATTATATTCATACATTACATACAAACTCATATATTTCAGATGTTTATTTTGTTTAATTTTGATGATTACAAATGACAACAAATGAAAATCTCAAATTCATCATATCAGAAAATTAGAATATTACTGAAGACCAATAAAAACAAAGGATTTATAGAAATGTTGGCCAACTGAAAAGTATGAACATGAAAAGTATGAGCATGTACAGCACTCAGTATTTAGTTGGGCCTCCTTTGGCCTGTATTACTGCAGCAATGCGGCGTGGCATGGAGTCGATCAGTCTGTGGCACTGCTCAGGTGTTATGATAGCCCAGGTTGCTCTAATAGTGGCTTTTAGCTCTTCTGAATTGTTGGGTCTGGTGTATTGCATCTTCTTCTTCACAATACCCCATAGATTTTCTATGGGGTTAAGGTCAGGAGAGTTTGCTGGCCAATTAAGAACAGGGATACCATGGTCCTTCAACCAGGTACTGGTAGCTTTGGCACTGTGTGCAGGTGCCAAGTCCTGTTGGAAAATGAAATCTGCATCTCCAAAAAGTTGGTCAGCTGCAGGAAGCATGAAGTGCTCTAAAACTTCCTGGTATGTGGCTGCGTTGACCCTGGACCTCAGAAAACACAATGGACCAACACCAGCAGATGACATGGCACCCCAAACCATCACTGACTGTGGAAACTTTACACTGGACTTCAAGCATCGTGGATGAAGTGCCTCTCTTCTTTTCCTCCAGACTCTGGGACCTTGATTTCCAAAGGAAATGCAAAATTTACTTTCATCAGAGAACATGACTTTGGACCACTCACCAGCAGTCCAGTCCTGTTTCTCTTTAGACGCTTCTGACGCTGTCTGTGGTTCAAGAGTGGCTTGACACAAGGAATGCGACAGCAGAAACCCATGTCTTTCATACGTCTGTGTGTGGTGGTTCTTGAAGCACTCACTCCAGCTGCAGTCCACTCTTTGTGAATCTCCCCCACATTTTTGAATGGGTTTTGTTTCACAATCCTCTCCAGGGTGCGGTTATCTCTCTTGCTTGTACACTTTTTTCGACCACATCTTTTCCTTCCCTTCGCCTCTCTATTAATGTGCTTGGACACTGAGCTCTGTGAACAGCCAGCCTCTTTAGCGATGACCTTTTGTGTCTTGCCCTCCTTGTGCAAGGTGTCGATGGTCGTCTTTTGGACAACTGTCAAGTCAGCAGTCTTCCCCATGATTGTGTAGCCTATAGAACTAGACTGAAAGACCATTTAAAGGCTTTTGCAGGTGGTTTGAGTTAATTAGCTGATTAGAGTGTGGCACCAGGGGCCATCAATTTTGAACCTTTTCACAATATTCTAATTTTCTGATATGATGAATTTGAGATTTTCATTTGTTGTCATTTGTAATCATCAAAATTAAACAAAATAAACATCTGAAATATATGAGTTTGTATGTAATGTATGAATATAATATACAAGTTTCACTTTTTAAATGGAATTACTGAAATCAATCTACTTTTTCATGATATTCTAATTTTATGACCAGCACCTGTATGTGCTCTTTTCCCCTGATGTCTCCATGGTTCTGGTTTGTTTTACATTTTTCTTGTTGGATTTTTGGATTCCTACCTCAGTTGTTTGTGAACATTCAATTAAATCTAAAGAAACTCACCTCTGCCTCCCTGCCTCTGCATTTAGGTCTTTAAAAACCACAACCCAATCCTGACACCTTCAGAAAGTTCCGCTGTGCATCTAGTCATAAAAGGCATGTATTGCATTTATTTGCACCCATGCCAGGCGTTGACGACTTTTTTCTGATTGTTGTGGCCTGGGCTGGGTCAAAGTCCAAAGCTGCTTTTATACTCTAGGTTTGCCTCTGCTTCCAACAGAAGGGTAATAAAGTTTTATTTACACTTACACTGTGGCTACGTTTGACTGAATCAACCCTACATTTCCCAAAAGCCCCCAGCATTTCACTCTTTGGTGTCAAATGTGAAAATAGTGACACGTGACAAGTGGAAACTCTTTACAGTCCATGCACCTTTAACCCCTACCCCCCCACAAACATGCATTCCACTATTACTCTGCTTTAAAATGTGCATCAATTATGATCTGCGTCTTATTCATCTTGAAAATCAATAGCAATGATGCATTAAGTCATAAAAATTAAATATTAATAAGCTGCAAAGTAAACAGGATGATAAAAACCAAGCATCACAGCCAGCTTTGTAATCTCCTTCTAACGGAACTTGAAGGAAGTTCAGTTTCTGAAGTAAACTTACGATCTCTGCAGCCAGAATGGTGCCTTTCTGGGTCCGCACGTAACTTTTAAGCCTTTCCACAACGGGTGTACCAGAACCGGACTCGGTGGTATCTGCAGCCATCCTGGAGGGTAGAAAACTAACTTACAGAGCGAGCGGGTTGCGAATAATAAACGACTCTTTTTTTCCCCGAAAGTGATTATTGAGGAAAAGAAAACCAAAGCAGTTCCCCGGTGCTGTTGAACGCAGCTCCCGTTAAAGCAGGCGGAGAGAGAAGAGCAGAAATAAAATAAAGTTAGAGAGAGAAAGGCGGGGCCAGCAGAGGGACTGACTGCCCGCATGGGGCGTTGGCCTGTTCCCTCCCTGGGTATGGAGCTCCGAGATATGGAGGACCAGTCCTGCCATAATTAGAAATAAATACAGAATTAAATAAATGCTCCAAAAATAAATAAGCATAGAATTAATCCACCCCTAAAAATACAATAAACAAATAAATGTTGATAGAAATTAAATTATACAGTGAGACATGAATGTATACATCTCCAGGGCTTGATGTTAACCATCGCCCGATCTCCCGGGGCAAGTCGTTTTTATTGTCGGGAGAGTACAAATTTCATTGCATTTGCCCGCCGGGCAAGTGCAATGATCGCAAAAAAAAAAAAAAAAAAAAAAACTATCACTCAAAATTACTTTAAAATCATAAAATCAAAATAGATGAAAACGATCCAGAACCGTTGCCATTTTTGTTGTTTTGTACACATTCTCGCGTGATTTGAAAAAGCCGGGTGATTTTCCGCCAGATGGTGTGATTTGTGTCCACCTAGCGGTAATTTTGATGTAGTTCAGGGGCAGATCTAGAAAAATATTTATGGGGTGGCGAGAGGGGGGCAGGAATTTTTGAGGGGTGGCAACATATGGCATTTGTTTACACTGAATTTAATCACAGTTATCACAGTTTGGTGAGAATAGATTGTACAGTAAGTGTTTCATGTGAAACGGTTCATATTAATAATACATCGTACAATGTGATCTCACTTAATAGGAGATAGAAGAATGATAACACTACTTCTAGAGGGGCCTTATCACAGTAAAGGTATTAAGGTAAGACACAGGTGCTGAGTCGCAGATGTGTGAGATTGACTGTCAGAGAGGCAGCTTTGCAGCATTTGCACAAGAAGAAACTATAGAACGAAAAATGTACCCATCAGAGATATATGGACTGAGCTGTTCTAAAGTGAGCATAACTACACAGTAGAAACAAATGGGTCCATGTGTTGTTTACTCTGAACACACCTTTACCCCATTTGTGCCTCAGTAACTTGACATACAGCAGTTAAGGCATCATGAAAGGGACATTTCATGCATGTAAATATGCTGTAGATAGTGCTGCTGTATCAACAAATTAACAAAAAGGCAGGTACTGTATGTTACATTAAAATCTCCACAAATCTGAAAAAAAGCAACATAAAAATACATTTTGCTTCCAGTCTAAAGTACAAAACATTTTGTGAGTAGGTTCATACAGGTCATTTCTGGATAGTTTCATACTATATATACAAAAAAAAAAAAAAGAAACAACAACACTGCTTCATATTAAGCAGGATTTACACCAGTATCACATTTTTAACTTTTAACACTTTTGGTTTTATTAAAGGAAATATCAGATTTTCTCAGGTGCCAAAACAAAATGTAACAGCTCTGTAAAGGCTCACCAGAGAGCATAACATAAAGTTGACATGACTATAACAGCTGAATGTGGCGATTTCCATGTTGTTCAGCAAAACGCTTCACAGATTTATTTAGATCCAATGCCTTTGTGTGTTTTGATTTGAGTACTGTACAACCAAACTTGATAGTCTCTGTTCTGTCATAGTTAACCGCAAATATGTCTTTATGAGCCTGAGACGTCAGGCCTAACTAACATCATAGTTAGAGAAATAACGTTCTGCAACCTGATTTTTATCATCTCAAAATCAGCATTGCAGCTATGCTAGCAACATTGTGCTTTCATTATGATTTAATTTCTCAATAGATAGTTAATACGTTTTTACCAGTTTCATCCTGTGTCTCCTCTCCCCATGGCCCCTGGCTCCCTCGCTTTGCCCCATTCGGTTTTCAAAACAAATCAGTCTCAGTCCCTCTCGCGTCATCTCGTGCTCCATTCACTGCAGTCCGACATTGGAAATTAGCAGTCTTGATTATCAAATTATCCATAATTTATAAGCCTCGCCACCCATACAGCCAACTGGGGTGGCAGCAGGGGTGGCAAGGCTGTCATTTAGGGAGGCATTTGCCACCTTATGCCACCCCAGTAGATCCGCCTATGATGTACTTACCAAAACGACAAACAAGCTAGAAAGCGCTATCATATGGCAGTCTTCTGTACAGTGTTGCAGGTCGTACATTATAATGTTCATTAAATTCATTAATTTTTTTTCTCTCAGACATTGGAGAGGTGCATTTAAATGTTATAGAGCTAAACATGTTAAATTGGTGACCTGTTATGTTATTATTATTGTCTTGTTGCTGCATTTATTTTGTCAGAGAAAACTAATCCTGAGTCAGTTAAAAGTCAGGGAATTCTGAAATGATGTCAGACTGTGGAAACCCTGTATAAAATAACTGTATAATGATTCTCTAGAAAAGTCACATTATATTAATAGTATCATCTTGTATAAACATACCGTGACTCTAAAATGAAAGTTATTCATTTGTGACATTGACTTCTGTCTTGTGATTTATCTTAAGTTTTTAACCTGTCAAGTTTTTTTTAGATTTTTAACATTACAATTTATATTTTTCCAAGCACACAACAGTTTAAAGCAAAGTTTAGTTTGAAAAGAATGTGCAGGAAGGACTGAAAAGCATGTTAACGCGGTAATGTAGGCTTGAGTTCATTATCTGACCCATGCATATACACACCAGGAACCTGTAAACTTAAAAAATACTGAATTACAAAAAATAATTAAAAAACAAACATGTTTCATTGACATATATACAAAAATTAATATTAGGAACTATATTTATCAAACATTATACTGGGCAAGTAAAAATTGTTTCTGGGCAAATTAAATGGGAAAGTCACTTGCCCAAAGGGCAAGTGGTAAAAATCCTTAACGTCAACCCCTGATCTCTTTTAATTAGCTTCTTTTTTTTCTCACCTTTGTAATAATTAACTTATTTATTTATTGTCCTTTCTATTCTTCAACTTTATTTATTTATTTATTACTTATTTCTTTAAGTATGTATTTTTGTTTTTTTTTCTCCCACACTGTTTACATTTGATCACTGCTGCGCTTAATGGATTGGAAATGTTCATTTACTGTCTAAAAAGCTCTACTAAACGAAAAAGTTGTGTAGGTCTAAGTCTAAATCTGGAGACAATAAACACAACGTTTTCTTCAACAGAATAATTTCAAGTTTATTTCATTTAGTTTCACATGAATCCCATATAATAAGAATACGGCAGAACTTTGGAGTCTTGAACAATTTTTTTCCCCGACTTATCATCAGCATAAATACTAATATGAATACATCGTACACAATAAAACACAGCACTATTCAAGGGCTTAGAGAGTATCACAAGACATCATTCACCACTAACGACAGACTATATTTCATTTCAGCATATTTATAAGAGCTACAGTTGAAGAGAAAGAAAGAGAGAAAGGGGGAAAAAGGAGAAAGCAAGCAGCTTCTAGATTGCTTAACTCTAACAACCCTGATTTGGAAAAAAAAAGGGGGAACACGTTTTTACAATAAACAACGATGCACTGGAGATGAACTAGAGCCGCTTTTGTTAAGAGCTGTGGAAGCAAAATATCAATAAAACACATCTGCTATCATTTGGCAAACATGCTCTTGAAAATCCATATGGAGGATGGGCAGCCGCAGCCATACAGGTGTGGTTACATCTGGATTCAAGCAATTATTGCAGCACTTTGTGCTTTTAGTAGATTATGGCAGAGCTGCTTTTCTTTGTGTGCAGTAATCACTGTTATGAACCAAACATGGGGTTAGCTGTTTAGTTTTGCTTTGTTCCTGTGCCTCAGCCTCTAATACAGGATTATTGATGCTCTGGAATGTCAGATGCATGCACTAAATCGGGTTTCCAATCAGAAAAGGAGACACAAGAATGAAAATGAAGAAGCATAGTGTGTGTGGCAGGACTATGATCTGTAAAATCTATTAAATGTTACCCTAATTTTCTTCCTATTTTGTGTTGCAGTGACAAAACACACGATACAACTTTCTGGTTCAAAACGAAGGCGATCGAGGAAAGGATGAGATTTGTTTGACAAACATAAAATAGAATCAATGCCAGCACTTGAATCCACACAAATAAACAAGTACACATGAACTCTTATTACACGGTCGGATTTCACAATTTTCATACAGACGGCACAGCAAATATGAGACGCCACCATTAGTTTTCTTCTCTTTATGCACTTGTGATTTGCAGATGTCAGGGTTAACAATATTCAGTGCACAACCAGAATGCATCCACTTGTGACAGTGATATTAGATGGAACAAAAACATATAGAAACCTAAAAGCTGAAATAATTTACATCTCACTTTCATCACAAACATTACTGTTATTATTTCTTTACTCATTGTCCTATACATAAATATCTTCTCTTCATCTTTGTCATTATTTGCAGACTTTACCCTGATTTTGTCTCTTTAATTCAAAGCAAATGTTCATATTTAGATTGTGAGTGAATAAAGAAACGACTGTGGAGTAAAACCGGTTGGTAAAGGTTAAACTATGAGAGCTCCTAAACAGAACCAAAATAAATACAATTGAATAACTCTGTGCTCAACATTTGTTGTATAACAACTAATATAGAGTGCACAATTATTCAACTGTGTACATATAATCATATATATATTTATATATCAGCAAGTCGATATTTACACAGCACAGACAAATACATTCTCTCAAGTTAAATATTACTACAATTTTTTTCTTTTTTAATCATAAATTTCCAGGTTCTTCAATGAATGTTTTGGTATTTGTGTTCAAGTTTTTCTCGTACACCCAAACAGACAATCCTTCGTTGTCTTTTACAGTTAAATACGTCACGAGAATAATCATCATGTTACAGCAAACAGAGGACCCCATGCCCAACCCTGAGACCTGCCCGCCCCCCCGCCCCACGTTCGGCCCTCCACCCACCCCACCCCACCCCTTATAATTAGTGTGTGGCCTCCATGCTCCTTCCCTGCGCCTGCCGACTCACATATACACAAACAGACACACAGAGGCGTTTGGAAACGCAGGTGATGGTCGCAAAAAAAACGCTCATTCCATAAGAGGTCACCCTGAGCAGAGGAAAGAGAAGCACAGAGGAGAAAAACATGAGAAGTTAACTCAGTGTTGAAGGCTTTCAGAAGTTTTCACACATCTGAACTTTTTTTTAAATTTGTATTCATTTGCACAGACAAATACATTCTCTCAAGTTAAATATTACAACAATTTTTTTCTTTTTTAATCATAAAGCGCATTGTGCGCTCTGCTGAGAAGGTGATCGGCTGTAAGCTACCATCTCTCCAGGACCTGTATGTCTCCAGGACCAGGAGGCGTGCAGGTCGCATCACAGCCGACCCTTCTCACCCTGGACACAGACTGTTTGAACCCCTCCCCTCAGGTAGGAGGCTACGGTCCATACGGACCAGAACCTCCCGCCATAAAAGCAGCTTCTTCCCCTCTACCATAAGACTCAAGAACACATAACTATATGTCAGACTCTATAACCTGCCCATGCCATTTACACTGCTCTATTTGCACACTGCTCTATTTGCACTACCTTGTAAGATGCTATTTTACTTTTTACTTTTTATATTTTTTATCCATATTTTTATCCTAAATGTATATATTAGTCTATTTTATTGCATGCCTTATACCCACAGTGTTTTTAGATATTTTTATAATTTTATTTACCTATTCCATATTATATGTTTCATGTTGCACGATTGTACCATAAAAAATTGCTGGTTTGTTAACTCCTTCACTAACAATGGCAATAAACCTGATTCTGATTTAATTTAAAAGGATAAAACACTAGAGCAGGGATCCCCAAACTTTTTCCTGTGAGGGCCACATAACTTTTCCCTTCTCTGATGGGAGCCTGGGGTCAGTTTGTAACAGAAAAATTGTGACGATTGCAACAGTGCCTACATTTATGATGGGACTTATGTCTTTATTGAGGGATTCATAGTGTCTTCGCTGGTTATATTCTTTGAATACCGCCACCGCCTCTTGACAGATGAGACAGACAGCCTTTTCTTTGCATTGAACAAAAAAATTATCGTTTGTCCAATTCAGGCTAAATGCCCTAACCTGACTCCGCCAGATGCATTTGCTCCGCATATCCATCTGGAAACCTTCCGTTGAAGTAATTTTGGGAAGGGGTGAAAATACTGGTTAGCTGATTGGCCTATGTTGGTGATAGACGGGCCAAATAAACCAATTAGATAAACGAAGCATATGACGTAACAGAGTATGTTGTATGTGTGTATGAAATAGTTACTAATAGTTAATAATGAAAAAAATTCATAATTAAGGAACATTTTATTTCAAATGTCCTACTTTATTATCAAAAAAAAAAAAAAGACATTTATATGAAAATACTCTCTGGTATTGTTCAGGGGGCTGGACCAAATGTGGGGGTGGGCCAGATTCGGCCCGCGGGCCTTACTTTGGGGACCACTGCACAAGAGGTAAAACTATCCTCCTTTTCAAGTGGTCCTTAAAAAAGAGTAGGAAAAAAAAACACAAAGATAAACCTGAAATTTAAACAAGGCAGATGCAGCAATTTACAATACAAGAGGATACGTGCAACCAACCACATGCATTTGCCTGAGTTCATCCTAAAAAATGCCAGATCCCTTTTCCTGTTTTACTTTCACCTTATTCTGCATTGATTCAAGATAGCCTTTAGTCTTCGCACAGCCTTGTTTGTTAGGCTTTCAGATGATTCAATTTTTGTAGTTATTGCTGTAGATTTAGAGCTAATAGTTGAGCTTTTTCTTTTTATATATATATATTTCCTGAATTTGAAGGAACAGCACATATCTGGCTTAATTAAACTGCATGTTTCTTGTATTTGAAGAGTGGATTAGAGAAATATCGCTCTTGGTCATGTCTGATGATATAATGAAGGCCACAAGAAGTCATGCTTTATCTAAGTTTCTTAGTCTGTTGGGTGGATTAATTTCACAGGATTTCTTCGTGGATGTGGATAGCACTGCTGCCTTACAGCAAGAATGTTCTGGGTTCGAATCTGAAAGGAATGCATGTTTGCAATGCAAGTTTGCATGTTTTCCCTGAGCATGCGTAGGTTCTCCAGGTACTCCAGCTTTATCTATATAAATATATATATATCTATATATATATATATATATAGATATATATATATATATAGAGAGAGAGAGAGAGAGAGAGAGAGAGAGATGGCAAAAGTACTCACTTTCTGTACTTGAGTAAAAGTACAGATACTTGTGTTAAAAAATACTCTGGTAAAAGTGGCAATACTGATTAAACTTCTTTACTCAAGTAAAAGTAACAAAGTACAGGCTTGTAAATTTACTTAAAGTATAAAAGTAAAAGTACAAACCACTTTTTAAATGCCGTTGCCTACATTTTAAATGGATGTCTGCCAATAGGACTAGATCTCCGTTGTGTTCATTTTCAATCATCTCGTCGTCCATACTACTATGCTTACGCCACCGCCACCAAGCTGCAATGATTTGCCGCGAATGAATACCGCCGAATCTGTCGATTCATCTTGTAGTGGTGTGTCAAATGCAACGTAGATTCCCATCCAATTAGATTGAATTTGGTATTGATGACGTGAAAAATAATAATGGTAACTCCATTGAAATGATTCAAAACTAAAGTAACGAGCCAATTTTTTAAAATGTAAGGAGTAGAAAGTACAGATATTTGTGTAAAAATGTAAGGAGTAGAAGTAAAAAGTCGCCATAAAAATAAGTAGTAAAGTAAAGTAAAAATATCAGAAAAATCTACATACATCTATATGTATGTGTGTGTGGACACACTCTATGTACTCTATATACCAAATTCTTCCTTTGGCACCATCTTCTTCTTTTTGACAATTGAGCCGACGTACATTTCTTCACTGTGAGATCAATAAATTCTATCCATCAATGGTGAATCCTTGCTATCACTTCACCAGTGTTCCAAACAGGAAATGGCTTCGTACAACTTCCCAGACTTTTATACCAATAACTAAGTTGTCCAATTTCTGAAGATTGAAGCATAACATGTTGCTTTTTTTGTCTACTTCATGTTGTCAGACAGGTTTTATCAAAGTTAGTTGATTGGTATAAGTCTGGTGGTTGTTAGCTATAACTATGGTAAATAGTAATTGTAATTACTACAGCTTTCTAAAAAATTTGATTAGTAAAAGTACATTGATGATCTGCTTTTCATATAGATCCAGAATAAATATCTTGTTCTCAATAGACAGTATACCAACTATCCAGAGCAGACCAGGGCTAAATACTAATACTACTTTTATTCTAAATATTTGTAATTATGGAGAAACTCACCATCCTGCAGCTGTTATTTAGCTGGGAAGGTTTACATCTGATTAGAGTAGGAGGTGGGCTGTTGATCATAGCCCTGGTTGTAACCTCCATCTTCATTGTAGCCTTGCTGACCGTACTCGGGTTGGTACCCTCCCTGGGTGCCGGCGTAGGGGTCCTGCTGTCCGTAGCCTCCCTGGCCGAAGGAATCAGGGGCGGGCTGCTTCTCTTGCGATGGGACATATTTTCCTCCAAGCAAAGCCAACCAGCCGGTCTCTTTGAAGACGAACCACAGGTTTCCCACCCATAGGATCAGGTTGATAAAACCAAAAGCCTAAACAGAGATAAAAGTTCATTGTCATGGTTGAAAAATCAAAGGGTGTGACTTTATGCAGTGCAGCTAGGAAGTTGGAACCTACCACAGAGGTGTTGAGCCCAGAGACTTTGGGCTCGTAGTGCTCTTTGCAGAGGTTTTCTCGTTCGTCACAGGCTTTGATGAGAGTGATGACCTCGTCTGGATCAGTGGCTGTTTTCACATCTGAAAGGCCTTTAGCCCAAGCGCATGAAGAGACCAGCCACATGAAGGCGAACACTGCCGTCACAATCAAATCCTAAAATCAGAAACAAAATCATTCATTATGAGAATAAAACACTTACAGCTCATTGTTTGACAGAGGTTTCACAATAGCTGGAAAGCATGTAATCCTACTGGTAAATGTTATGAAAACATCAATTTAAACTAACCATTTTTTTGTTTTTACAATTGTTTTCTGTATTTAATGTATTTAAGTAGGAAAAAAAAGGACTTCCTTTTTGTTTCATGAGGATTTCTGCACGGTTATATTGAAAACGTCTTCAGTTCTTTTGAAGGAGATTTAAATCGTCTTCAAGGAAACACCATTCGCCTTTGTTTCCTGCTAAGATTGTTTATGTCCGTGATGACTGAGATTCTGCTTCACTGAATCTTGTTTTCATTGGTCATGATATACCCTCCTTTTTTATTAATAAAAAATATTTTATTAATCCAAAAGGGAATTAAACACTGTTGTTGCTTCCATGACTTGTTGCAGATGTTGATGTTTTTAAGCAGGACAGGTTTCCTGTAGGGGTCCTTATTACAGTTGTTCTTGATTAGCCTCATAATGTTGCTGTATGACAATTTAATGAAGAGGAATCTCCATAATATGCACTGCTTTATAAAGATTTTTTCTTTGTAAAATCATCTCCAGAGGTTCTTGAGGAGTTCTCAAAACAGAGCCGGCATCCTTTATTAGGTTAAGTTAAATGCTTTGATGCTCCAAAAAATAACATCAGTAGAAATTACACTTTCCCTGCAACACATCTTGCATCTTGCTACTGCAAACATGGAAAGACCTAAGCTTCAAGAAATACAAATTGCTACTAAAGTTACATCTTCAGTCCAGTCTGTTGTCCAGGAGAACACAAATATATTTATACCCCTTCTTTGCTTCTAGTTCTTCTCCCATGATGGTAATAGTGTGACCTGCTTCTGTCTCTCCTAATATCTACAATCATATCCCCAGTTTTATTTAAAGATATAGAGGATGATTTTCGCATTTTTTTAAAAGACCCATCCTCTCTACTTAAAAAAGAAAATGCACATGCACGACTCTGTATCCGCTCCCATGAGGGAACACCTATTAAACACGTGCGAGAGCGTGCACAGGTCTATTTCTCCTCGTGCACGCTCTGTTTAAAAGTTGCTGTTTGCATAGCTCATACAAGCTTACTGTTCAAAAGAAGATTTGCACTTTTTCCACTATGTCAGACTCACCACTGGTACAGTAGGTGAAAATGGGGATGAACGCGTAGGACGGCCTTACGGAAACATATCACCAGAATGATTGACAATTAGGAGGACCACTTATTTTGATGATCCATCCAGCAAAAAAACTTTATACCTTTAAGTTTCATGCTTCCACACCATGCTGCAAAGTAGTCCACCATATCCCTGTACTCAGCTTTTTGTGCATTTTTAAAGGACAAGGAGCTGAGTCCATCCTCAGAACATCTCTGCAGATGACTGGAGTCATTTTAATGGGAGTCAGAGGTGTACAGAGTGAAAATGAATTGTGAGTATTGCCCCCTGTGCTGCTAACTGCCAGGTTAGACAGTTAGTATTTTTTTACTATTTTCTACATTATTAGAAAACTGAAATAAAAAAAAAAATCTACTTGAGGATATTTGTAAGTTTTAACATTTTTACCACTAAAACGCTTCATCAAGTGAAAGGAAATCTTACTAAGCAGCCAAATTTCTAGCAAGTTCCAGAATTTGCACAGATGCTAATAGTGATATAAATTGTATAGCTTTCAAAGGAGTAGTATGTTTTTTAATATTGTTATTTTAGGCACTTTGTAGTTCTAGCTAAAAGAAAATGAAAGATTCAGTAAAAGATTATAAACAATCCACTGGACTTGGTTTCCAAGGTTTTCTAACCTTGGAAACCAAGTCCAGTGGATTGTTTTTAAACCATCGGGAAACAATAGGGAATGACTATGACCTTGATGACTGAGAATCTTCATCAGCAAAATTAAAGATTTCATAAAAGATATTTAGAAAAAACTCACAATCCGGGGTCCTTTGTTGTTTTCACGGTACTTCTCCAACATGAAACAATATACAGCAAGGGCTGCCATGGAGTAGAGGAAGGAGAAGACCCCGATCGTTACAAAGAACTCGGCTGAGGAGGAGTAGTCTCCGACTAGGAACAGACGGTCCTTGCTCCCTCCCTTACAGGTGGGCGCATCAAAGTAAACCTGATGGAGCCTGAGGACGACATTGCACAAAAACAAAGAGCGATGTGAAGGAATAAAAGAAGAGCTGAGATTAACAGACCATAGAATATTTTTGTATAAGATGACAGTGATCTGTCAAAACAAACCCTTAAATTAATAAATAAATTAAATTTTTTTAATGAACTATACATCTTTTGCAGATCAAGTAAAGAAAAAAGGCACTGGCCTATAATTTGCATCTCTTAAATGTCCAGAGTCAAACTCCACAAGATTTTAAATTCTAGATTTTTTTGACAGTTCTGATCTCTAAAAACCCAAAAATACTCTAAACAAATGAAAAACGAATAAAATATTGAATATTTCAAGAAACAGCAGAGGAATCAAGGGCTGAAACAGGGCTCTTTATGTTGAGAACGATTAATGATAAAATACTTAATGTATGTAAAAAAAAAAATGAATTTTAGTACTGTAAATATACAGTCAAATGTTTATATTACTATTTTTTATGTATTTATTACTGTTTCCAAGGATGCAGTTTAAAAAATGAAATTGTCTAGAGCTGTTTTTAACAAAATTTCTTTTTGTATAAAGTTCTGTATACAAAATAACAAAATAAATCTGTTTAAGTATATCCAGAGGTGTCAAGTAATAAAGTACAAATACTTTGTTACCTAACTTAATTAGAGATTTTGGCTATCTATACTTTACTGGAGTAATTATTTTTAGACAACTTTTTATTTCATTCATTTAATTTCATTTATCATCTCTAATTTCTACTCCTTAAATTTCAAAAATGAACTCGTTAGTTATGTTTCATTTAAGTTTGTTTTTGTTATGGCCCGTTGGTATTTATATACCAACGGGCCATACCAATATATATATATATATATATATATATATATATATATATATATATATATATATGGTTTTCATTTCCCCCTCGTTATTCAGATTAGAAAATAATCTACTGTTCTGTTAGACTTTAGGGATTGGTCTACTGTTGGAAAAAAGAAAAATGATGTCTATAAAATCTAATGTTGCGTAATTCTGCAAAGCTGATATTTTTAGCTCCTACATGAGGAAACTGATAAATGTTAGAAAGGATTTAGAGAAGGTGCTTCGATGTGCATTATTATCGTATCATTGTTTCCTCTTGCGCATCTGAAGAAGGTGCTAGTCACAAGGTTTCACCTTTTTTATGAATTGGGTTTTGAAAAGTCACATTTTTCTGTTAGATGAAATAGTTTTACATAATATGAGTCAGGGCACCTAAAAAAAAAGAAAACTTAACATCATTCAATGTAGTGAGTGCATATTTTAATAGCCACGAGTCTCTCTAACTTTTAACAGACAGTTTTGACATTAATTATTTTCTTATTTAGTTCTAATTGAAGTCCTTTAAAAGTGTATGAAAATATTTTCAGCTGTCAAACTGTTAATTTTCCCTTATTGTGTGAAAAACTGATATAACTAGTAATCTAAGAAAGATACATAGTTTAATTTAATGTTTAATTGATTAAAGATATATTTCTAATTTTCTATTCTAAAGATATTCACATATCCCTTATATAACAGTGCTTATATAAGTGATTGTAACAGTGATTAAGTAATCATCTGAATGATTATATGCAACTATGATGAGATGGAAAAATGAACCAGAAATTGGGATAAAAACATCAACAATGTAACTTTAAACCTCCCCCAGGTCATTTATTTTAATGCAGAATAGCAACATTCACCACAGAAGCAACCCCAGACATACCTGAATGGATATTCAAATTCTACTTCTATGCCAAGGTCACTCTCTGATCGGTTTTTACACTCCACACTAAACTTGAGCATGCCAGAGTAGCTGCCACATGTGGAGAAGGCGAAGATCGCAAAGATCTGGGGGGAAAAGAGAAACAGAGAAACATTTTTATACATTTCACTTACAAAGTGGAAAAACAATTAAAGCACTTCTTTATTTTCCTTTATATTTTAACCTGCAAAATGAGCGAGTTTAGCTACCGTATTTCAATGGACCCATACTCAGACTTATATGAGGGCGACAAAACCGGACTTATTTGACTTATTTTCTCTGCCACAAACTTAAAAATGAAAATAATTTTATTGGGATTTCATGTCATAGGCCCCCATCTAACTATAAAACTGGGATGTGGAGGGATATTTGTGCTCAACCCCTCCAATCTAATGCATCTAACTAAAATCCAGTGTCACCAAATATCTTCATATGTTTAGGATTTATTCTTGGTATGAATCCACCTGCTCTTTAAAGACCTCAGATCTTTGTTAGAGAGAAACAAAAATGTCAATAAAGTAAGAAAGTAAGAGTATGGCTGCAAACCCACTAGGATTTGGCCGTCCACCTAAAATTATAGGAAAGGCAAGAGGAGCGTTAGTCAGAGGAGCAGCCAAGGGGCCCAATGTGGATCTCAGGTGAGACGATTTCTTGACAGGACAACAATAAGTTGTGAACTTCGTAAAAAAATGTTTAACTGTCAAATAAAAGAGCATTGAAAGTAAGACTTGCAGTTTAATCTCAATAACAAAATAAAACTCTCTGGACTCCATATGAAGCGCTGCATGTGTGTGTGTCTAAAATGAATGACTATACATCCGCCTGTCCTCATAATGAAACACGTTGGTGGGGGGAACATGCTGAGGGGTATTTTTTTTTTTCAGCAGGGACAGTGAAGCTGGTCAGAGTTGATGGGAAGAAAAATTGAGTTATATATAAGGCAAACGCAGGAGACTGGGTCAGACGTTTACCTTCCAGCATAAATAATAGAAATATTTGAATCCTATACCTTGGAAGAAATAATTTAGCTGAACTCCAAGCACAGAATCTTAGATAACTTTAAATATATTCACCAGGAGTAAAGATGATTGTAGGGGAGGTTTAATGCTGCTGTTTTGTTCGTTTTTGCTCCTGTTGCAGATCCCTGCCTGCAGTATCTCTAACAAACTGGCCAGCATCCTCCAGTCCCTCTGAGCTGCTAATAAATTCTTACCAAGTGTAAATCAATGCACCAACAAACAACACAGCACAGACTGTGCCTGTTGCCATGGTTATTGGTGAAAATTAACATTTTTGCCTAGCTGCTTTTCTATTCCCTGGTGATTTTTCTCCTAAAGCTGTCCATTAATTGCTTTCGGTACAACAAGTACAGTCCAATAAACGGTACAAACACACACTGGCTCTCTCACCTACAGCAGATTAGAAGAGTCAGACTATTTTTACCACACCCTCCCAGCACTGCGGGCCAGATCCGATTGGACAGACAATCCAGCTATTAATCTGGCTGAGGTGCCTTACCATCTGTCACCGGATACCCAACTATAGGCTAGTGTAAGGAAACACACACATCCACACATCACACGTCACTTCCTTCTTAACTCCAGGCATCATAGTACAGTCTACCTGCTCCAGGCATCAACAAAAGCATAAAGCATATAAATTAACTATACTATTAACTAAATGCTTGTAAATTGAGGTAAGTAGCTTTTTTTCCTGTAGCTGCATTCTGATTTATTAAGATCAAATCACAAATGCCATACCTAAGGAGCATGTTTTCCTATTTTTGTTTTCTGGCTTGATTAAAAAAGATTCAAATCTGATGTGTGTCAAACTTATTCAACAGATCATTTCATATATTTGATAAAAAGTTACTCGACTCTGATTAACTCACAAAGGAATCAAAAGTACACTCTTTACTCAACTAAATGTACAGATACCTATGTACTAAAAAGAAAAAAATCTGGTAAAAGTATAGATTGACCTCCTTTGCTTAAGTAAAGATAAAAAGTAAAGGTCTACATTGATTTTTGCCTTAAAAGACTTAAAAGATGAAAAATAACTTTTAATGACTATATTCAAAAATAGTTCTGTGCACAGAAATAGCTAAATTGTCTTGTTTTCTTACTGTATTGAACAGAAAACAAGATAAAAACTGACTCAGTCTAGTCTTGTTCTAAAATTTCAGACAGGACAACACATAGAATTAAACCGAAGTCTTGAATGAGATGTTAAATATGTTAGAGTGCCGTTTTCACAGCATTAAACTTCCTGGCTTCATCCATGTCGCTATTTCTATAAATAATACGTGCTGCTTTTGGACAGATTCTCTTAGTGCTCTTGATTTTCTCTCTTTATGCAGCTTTTATATCATGTAATTTTCAATATGTGCACAAGTATTGAACAAGTATGCAGAAAGCACTAAGTAGAAATTACATATATTTGTGTTCAAATGTAAGAAGTAAAAGGAAGAAGTCCTGAGAAAGAAAAACTCAATAAAAGAACCTTGTGTACAGTATGCATCAAAAATAATATCTTAATTTCATTTCTTTTTCGGATCTGTTAGTGGTGCCAAAGTCTGTCAATTTCTTATGTAGGATTTGTTTCTCCACTGAAATAATGAACCCAAATTTAGGTTGAATTTCTCAAACATTTTTCTATATAAGATAAACAGCTCTTCACTAATATTTTACATTCCAGATATAAGAAATTTTGACTAATTAGAAACTAATAAATTAAATATTGCTTAAAGATCCTCAGGTTGTGTCAAACTCCAATAAAATAATAATAGAAAAATAACTACAAACTCCAATAAAATAATAATAGAAAAATAAATAGGCCAAACATTTCCCCTAAATCTTAACAACATATAATTATTTCTTAACTTTTCCTTTTTTCAAGTTTGCAAGAAGGTAGTTTTTAACAGTCAGCGTTTTATACCTCCGTATTTACAGGGTAACATATGCATGCTGCTATATTTCATTTCTGCAGAGGAAAAGACCTAAACTGTTGCAATCCATCACAATAAAAAACCCTATAACTTCACCAAAATCAAAAAGAAAACATGTTTTGCATGTTAGAAAGTGTGAGGGAACACAATTATATAGAAATACTCATAAAAACCCATTACACCTCTGTCCAAACCAAACCAGTCAGCCCTGTTAAATCTTAACTTCGCTAAACAAGAAGCACAGAAACGGCTCATAGTAATTCAGCAGAGCAGTATCAATTTTCCCCTCTTGCTGTGTAAAGGGGGGTTGGACAGCTGAAGAATTATAGGGCGGGAAAAAATAGTGGGGGGAAAAACAGAGAGTGCCATGGTAACACATGGTTTCTGCTCCTTCTGGTATGCTGGAGGGCTGTCAGCTCTTCACTTTCTGACACAAACTGTCAGCCACTGCTGTTCCCACACTGCGTCAATTTATCCCTGTCTCTGTAAAATGGCTGAAAACACAAAATAGTGGTAGGCATTCCAAAGTGTAAAAAAAAAAACAAAAAAACAATCCACTGGGCTTTGTTTCCAAGTTTGAAGATGTTTCGCTTCCCATCCAGGAAGCTTTTAAAAAAACAAATATTGAAAAAGATTCCTGAATGGTACGGAAGAGGATTAAGGCAACTGATAAAAAAAAAAAGTGAACTGATTTTTATTTTTATTTTATTTCAGTATAGTATGGGAAAAATGTCAGAATTCTGACTTTAATCTCAGAATTCTGACTTTTTTTTCTCAGAATTATGACTTTTTATTGTCAGAATTCTGACTTTTTTTATTATCAGAATTATGGCAGAAATCTGAGATTAAAGTCAGAATTCTGAGAAAAATGTCAGAATTCTGAGAAAAAAGTCAGAATTCTGAGATTAAAGTCAGAATTCTGAGATTAAAGTCAGAATTCTGAGAAAAAAGTCAGAATTCTGAGATTAAAGTCAGAATTCTGAGAAAAAAGTCAGAATTCTGAGAAAAAAGTCAGAATTCTGAGATTAAAGTCAGAATTCTGAGAAAAAAAGTCAGAATTCTGACTTTTTTCCAATACTAAATTGAAATAAAATTTTAAAATCAGTAAACTATATATTTTTTTTCCAGTGGCCCTAATCCTCTTCCGTAGAATGGGAAGCGAAACGTCTTCAAACTTGGAAACAAAGCCCAGTGGATTGTTTTTTTTTTACTTTTTAGGAATGAGTATGACCTGGATGACTGACAATCTTCACCAGCAAATAGCGGTAGTCTAAAAATAACCATGAAATGCAGACATGTTCAGGTATGAGGCTGTCTTCCTGTCCATAACAAAACTAGACTTTAAAGTGCTGCTTGGAAAAAAACCCTCCAGGATTTAAAATGAGAACAAAACCATAAATATCTTCTATAAAGTTAGACAAAAAGTTGTTGAAAATAACTGTCTCTATTCATGTTTTAAATAGTTATTCCTATAATTAGTTAGGTTTGCATAGGTTTATATTGTTCTATGAGATATTATACAGAAGAGCTCAGGACCTCATTGACTTGAAGAAAGTAATTGGCTTATTTTCATTGTAAAACACCTCATGATATCTTATTACTGAAGGTCCTTTGAGTCCATTAAAGAATATGTCAAAGCTTTTTCACATTAGCTAATTTTCCCAGTATAAAGGAGATAAGCAGAAACAGGCTAAAGCCTTTATCACAGCTCCTGGAGCATCTGTAGAGAAAACGCCTAATGAGGTGCAACAAAATAAACACCTTTTATTGCACATAACGGATTAAACCAGAGTGAATCAGGCTGTTGCTTTGTGGTCCCTGGCTTTTAATGTTTCCCGAACATGAGTCACAGCATGAATTTAAATTTATACCAAATCCAACGCAGCAGAATGAAGCTGCATTGGGAGAGGCAGGGGAAGGAAAAAAAAAAGATATTTGGTTTAATGTAAGCAGAGTATGGCAACACCTTATCTTCTCATAACTTTATTTAATCCCAAAAGCAGTGTTGGAAAGTTCTTAGTTATTCTTAGTTAAGTTATTAATTTTTGTCAGATATTAAGTGATATTAAAAAGCAAATTAAAATTATCTAAAAAAAAACATATCTACTCATTTTTAAAATTGAAGTAGTTATATTTATA